CTCCACTCTCCCGTTCTCCCTCTCACTCTGCTGTCCAACTCGATTGCACGCATGAAAAGCATTGCAAGTCAGCAGCGCGCACCAAACGAAAGCAACGAAGAGAAATTGCCAAAAAAAAAGCAAAGCAAAACGAAAACGCCAAAGCGAGCGGCGAACAGCAGCAGCAGAAGCATCATTGGAAACAACAACAAAGCGTTCATGCAAAAAGAAATCAGCGGAAGGGCAAAAAAGTAAAAAGGCCACAGTGCTGTTATCGCGTGTGATCGCTTGGCAATACCCTGTATAACTGAAATCAGTGCTGGTGGAAAAACTAAACTTCAGATTCCATTTATTTATTTTGCCTTTTAATATATATAAGAAAATACTTTTATTTTATCACAATTTCTTATAACCGATATTTATTTGGCTATTTGTCTGAGCACGCGAAAGCTCACCTACCGCTTATCGCAAACAAAATACTCTACACACTCTTACACATTTTTAATAGGGTCATGTTACACGAAAAAAAAAAAAAGGAAGGAGAAATGCGAAAAGAAAACGAATACCGCGATGAAGCCAAGGAGAACGCGTAGCTTACAAGCGCATTTCGATTATTGTTGATGTAATCATAATTTTTCATTTCCAAAGTAAACGATAACCCACGTCCCCCCGCACACCCCGCCAACTCCCTCTCCACCAACAACATAAAGAATCGCCGAGAATTAAACGAACTTTTCATTTATTTACACGAAACGCACAAGCTGCAGAATAACGGTTTTCGCGTTTGCTTTTTTTAAACGCGCGACGCGTCAATGATTAAAGCAAACAAACAGAGAGAGAGAGAGCAACAAGAACAACAACACACTGCTCCCATCTCCTCTCGCCCTTCTGTCCGATAGCCTGTAACAAAAGCTTGGAAGCTCTGCCACTGAGATTTCAGTAGCACCCAGGCGGATCCGACGACTGCGGTTGAAAGCTCCCAGCGTCTGTCTTGCATCATTAATTACAATTTGAGCTACGTACACACACAGACACACACACAGCGAAAGCAATTTGTAGCGAAAATATATCGGACAGGAGCAAAAGGCGTCACAAGTCCAAAAAAAATAAAAATTCATCGCCAACTGGGCGGCAGCGCTGACATTTTAATTGCACTGCATGATTGTGTAATTCGCTTAATTAATCAACACTTGCTGTTTGTTATTGTTACTGTTGTCTTTTTTTTTTGGCTATCAATATGTCGAAAAGTTTTTAAAGCAGATAGCAAATATATTGTTATATAATATTTATACATGAATCGTTGAGTTTTAAAGCTTAAAGCAAAGTTTAGCTTCAATGCTCAATGTTCACACACGCACAAACATAAATATCAGTTATCTCTACACCCACATACGCATATTGTTCATCATTGCAATGAAACAGAACATCTCTACACAAGCGTGGAGGGAATGGGAGACTATGGGCAGTTGTAATTGAAACCGTTAAAGCTTAGCTTAATGTAATTTGTGTGTATGTGTGTGTGAGTGAGCAGTAAGATAAATGACAGCACACACACATACAAAGGTTAATATTAATGCATAGGTGATGGTCAAGCAGCCGCTGCCTTATCGCAAATGCTGCGAATATTATCTGCGATAATGCGAAACGTAATTGTGAGCTATGCAAATGTGCGGACATTTCTGCTTAGCACAAACACACATATGTGGCTATTTAATTTGATAGTTTATCGAATTAATTTCAATAAACGGAAATTAGACAGCTGAACACTCCGTTGGCAACTCTCCACCCCTAATCAAGTTTTTTTTTCTGCACTACAGTTGGTAACGCGATACAGCTGTGAAGCACACCATAATTAACGGCACTAACACACACAGACACACAAACAGACACATGCAGGCACTTAATGAAAATGCGAAGTGCGACTGCAAATGGAAAAGTGGAAAATGGAAATTCTGTCAGCTCTCCTTGTCGATGGTCCTTCCAATGTCGCCAGACTAGACATTAGCTGGATTTGAGGGGATGGGGGTATCAAATTGCCCCTGCTATGTTGGCAACTTAATTGTGCTGCCAGCGCGAGAGAAGTGTGAAGAGTGCAATCAGTGCTAGCTGTAAAAAAAACCTGGTTTTGATATGAAGTAAACGTATACTAAATAAATGTATAAGTTTTTTGAAAACAGTTAATGAGAAATTGTCTAATTGTTTTCATATTTTCAGTTTTACTTTATTTATTTATATTAAATATCTTAAATTTTAAAGCTGCTAAGAGGAAAGCTAAAATTTACACAAAAAGAAAGGCTAAGTTTGCAGCACCGTGTGTGCGAGATAACCGCAAATTGCACACGCGTTGCCCGAATACAAGCAAAGCGCTCTGTGTGACTAATAGCAGATTATGCCTGAAAACTAAAGCCTGCCGGCAAATGCAAGGCAAAACTTTGCTCCACTCGCACATTTGCTAATAAATGTTTTACACCCTGTTGCCGACATTACAGTGCTGGCTGCTGCACGTTAATTAATTTTGTTAAATATTAAACCATATTAAACAACGCTTGCAAAAGTTTGTTTTATAATTAGAAACTGAAACTTTGCACGCGCCGTTAACATTTGCACTGCTGTTAAAAGAGCATGCTTTTAACTGGCTTAACAGTTGGTGTAATGATTGATCGGCGTTTAAAATAAACTATTGCCTACATAATAGCTGCAGCTGGTGCAAACTGCAAATATCTCTTTTACTCGGTGTATTTAATGTGCTCGTTGCTGGTTGTTAAATAGATATTAAATAACATAAATAATGACTTTAATGAGCATTTTTTGGGACAAGATGTTGTCTGTTAAAGTGCAAATTCGTTGAAAATAATAGCAAAAGGATGCAGTGCACAAAATCTAAAGAGAGGATTAGTAGCAACTTGCTGACTTATTCTCTTAATAAAATGTTTGTATTTTGTATATTATTTATTCTAGTTTTAAATTGCTGCTAGCAAGAAAGGGAGATAAGGAGAATTTTTATCTTGCGCCAGCCACTGAATGCATTCTTGACAATTCTCTCTTAAATTCCAAAACCTACGAAAATTTCTCCAAAATCATACCCAAGAAATTATCTCGAATTTAGGGCGGAGTACAGGGTATCTTCAAGCCATCCACCCCCGATTAACGCAAGTTTGCATTGCATTTAATTGCCTGACGCCCTGGTAATATAAACCGGCAATATGCCGCCCATCAGCAGAAGCCAAAGACAATACTCCAAGCCCGTATTCCGCTTTTAATTGCCGATTGTAAATGTTTTCCTTTTTTTTCTATGTTATCTAAGCTTTTGTCTCAGGCAGCTGCTGTTGCCGACCGCAACCACAGCAGCTTCAACACCTGCTAAACTGTTACCCCGACACCCTGTTTTGCTCTTCCTCTTTCATCTGTTGTTCTGCCTGTTCTCTGAGAAAAAAATAGTGTGTACACACTGTGTTGACGGGTGTAGTTCTGTGCTAGTTTGTGTCTGTGTGTGTGTAGCTAATGATGACAACTGTTGTAACACTGACAGCTTATTACATAACCTCACTATACTCACACACACACACACACTTACACGCTGTTGTGTAATTTGCAGTTCAATTACCCCGGTAATACGATTTCCCACAGTGTCTCAGCGGTGTTCCCTTCTCCCTCCCCTTATCAACCTACACATCGTGCACACATCTTCAAAATACTTGTCATGTAACTGGAATTCGTTAATTATTTTGACAGTCGGCCACACTGCTGACAGCAACAACAAAAGTCACACACACATATATACATACATACATACATGTGTTTACATATGTGTGTTCGTCAATTGCAGGTCGACGAATTAATACACTTACCGTAAATGTGAACAAGATTGTTGTTAATTGTTAAGTATTGAATTATATATTGGATATGTGAAGATTTGTAAAATATATTTATTTTATTTTATTTTTGTTTTGCTTAAGTTTGTAACATTATTTTTGTATATTATTTTATTGCATATATATGTGTTATTCTTATTTCTAATAATTATGTTATTATATAGTTAATTAGTAACTGAAATATTGCACGAACTGTTAAAAGTCGCAGTTGAAGAGTCACTGTTGTTAATAGCAGCACGCAGCTAACTGGTTTAACAGTCGCCGCAATGCTTGATCGATGAAGAAGGCAGTCTTTTTGGTCATTTCAAAGTTGAAATGTGTGAAAATTATTTATCTTCTGATTATTTATCATGTGTTTAACAAATATACAATATTATAAACTGAAACTTTACACGCGCTGGTATAATTTCCAGTTTGGGGGTCATTGCTTTTTGGGGAAGCATGCTGTTAACTGGCTTAACAGTTGTTGTAATTCTTGATTGTTGAACGAACATTTTGAAGCTTAAATATGTGAAAATCCCCGTCATTTTGATCATTAATCGTATGTATATAAGCTGAATTTAGTTGTTGACATCAATTTAAATAAAAATGCCATTAAGTGTGCTAAAAAAAATGCAAGTCAAAAGCATAGAAAACAGTAGCTTACTGTTTACTATTGTTGGTACATATACACATAGACAAAAGTATACATATACATACATGAAACAGCGACCTTATCTGTTATATAATAGAAGCTGGAACTTTTTGCATGCGCTGTTAAAATTTGCAGTTTGAGTCTTAGCTGTTAATAGCAGCATGCTGTACGCCGATTTAACAGTTGCCATAATTGTAAATTATATAAATAAATATATATATATATATATATATCCATATGCGCCCACAAAATAAATATACCCATAGCATATAGAGTATATATGTGTAATATATGCCCCCCTCTGAGACTAGACCAATTTGTAGCCATATGAAACTTGCACGAGTCGTCTTTGGGCTTCTGTAACTGTAACTGTAATTTGTGTGACAGTCGCCAGTGATGAGCATTTTGGCCATTTTGGCCAGCCACTGATTGTGGCCAAATGTGTCCAAGTTGTGGGTGTGTGACGGGGTGTGGGGCGTGAGTTTGAGTGTGGATAGAATAATATATATCAAGAATATTAACATGGATTATTTATTTGCGGTTTGTGGGAGATTGGATTATAGACTTATGAGTTATTCACACAGTGGCTGAAACAGCTCCACAAGCAGCAAGAGCAACACAAGCAGCAGCAGCTGCAAAGGTAGCAGCAGGGGGAGAAGCAGTAGGAACCCCCTCCGCTGAGGCAAATACTATACAATCTTGGCATCCTTTGCAACAGCTGAAGGAACAACATCAGCCTTGTTAATCCCCTCAAGAAATTGAGTCCGCTTCGCACTCCAATTGGGCGCCGGATGATCCTTGAGCACCGTCCAATTGGGGGAATGTACATCCGGAGATAGCCAATTGAAATCGGCAACATCCATATAATTATTCTGCGACTTATTCAGACCAGCTGCCAAATAGTCCGCCTCCAACTGCGGATAATCATAATTATAGACATCGATCTCAATTTGCTGGGAGTCTTCGATGATGGCGCGACACGTGACATGCAAATAGATTCGTGTTGCTTGCGAGGAATGCAAACGCAACTGTTGACAGGCAATGGCCAAAGTGCACTGCTGCAAGTGCTCCGCAAAGAATGAACGTGCCACGGGACCAGACAACACTGTGCATTGAGTGGCATTTGAGATTTGCACGGAGCCCGGATGACCCTGCAACTCCACCAGACAATTTGCCACATTTGAGATGGTTATATCGAGTCCATCGACTTCCGCCGCACGCAGCACAATGTGTTGCTGCCGCTGATCCGAAATTGTCCAACTAAATGTGGACTTTTGTTGCTCTGCTCCAGTCTTGTCCAGCTTTTTTTGTGGCAACTTTTGTTTAACTGCCGCCGTCGTTGTCTTCTTGCTGCTGAAGCCAAACTTCTTCTTGGGCATAAAACGTTGACGTGCTTCCTCTGTGGCGCCACTCAACGTATTCAACACATTCTGACAGGATTTAATCTTAAAATCTGAGAGAAACATTGTCGATGTGGTTAAGTAACGCTGCAATTCCTGTATTTCCATTGTGATCTCCGCGAAATGCTTGCCCAGATCGGGCAGGGGAGCATCTCCGCATCTGTCCAGCGCATTGATGCGTTCCTCAATTTCGTAGGCCCGCCGATTGAAGCATGTGGCAAAGTAATCGACGCCTTCGTTTTGTACCGTTTCCTTGCTGCGCTGCTCCAGTTTCACATCCAAATAATTCTGACGATCCTTGTTGCGTTTGTTCAAACGTTCCAACATGAAATCCTTACGTGCAACAGCCGCTGCATCATCCACACTATCCACATTTGGTTGCGACTCCATTTTTGATTCGAACTGCAAAATGGGCGAGTGTTAAAAATCAATTTATACTAAAAATGACAAATGATTTTTGATTGTCTTTTTTTTATTTACCCCCTCCTCAAAAATGTTGAGCAGCTGCTGCAAAATTGTTTACAAACGTCGCACTTTGCTCAACAAATTTTTAGTCACTTTACTGATTTGCTTTTAGATATTGCAAAATTATGTTTAATTTCGCGTTTAATTGGGATAAATCTTTTTAGCTGTTAATCTTCTTCACAGCTATAGAAAAAAACTCAATAAACAGTAAGCAAAAATTCACTTTGGGCGAGAGTTACTCATCGTGGGCTGCCAACCCGTGTGCAGTTGTATGCTCAGCTGGCAGTCGATTACTGTAACTGGCACAGGGAAGAGGAAGCAGCGGCTAAATGGCGCGCCCTTAATTGAATTTGAATTGTGGTTGGTTGAGCTGTCTCTGCAATATTTTACTGAGAATATTTATAAAATGAAATACAATTGTAATTTTGCGATATGTATAAATAGCAATATGCCATTAAAACAAGTTTATTTTTTGGAAGGGAAATTTGCCAGTTCCCCATAAAATATATGCAATGTGTAAATGGCAAGCAGCTGCATTAGACACTGATTTGGCATATTTTTCAGTGCTGTGTGCTTAAAATTATTTTAGTGCTTTGGTATTGCTGAGAAATAATATACATAGTGGAGTATTGCTTACTTCCTGGCTTCTTTTTGCTATCATTGCAGATTCTTTAAGTAGCCCAAAGACTGTATAATCGTTGCACTTCTTAAACACATGATTTCTGTTTCTTTTGCATATTCCGGAAGAATATGTTTCGAAAATGAAATTTTGATTGTGCTCCTCACGCACAGCTGTTCTGGAGCTGGCTGCGAAACAGTGTGACCAGTCATAGAAGAAGCTGATTGGCGCGCTATATGACCCAATTCAAATTGAGGTGTAAGGGTAAGTTGTTTTTAATTTTAAGTGTTTTGTTGTCATAATTAAAACAAGTCTTAAGCGACTTTAGTTCTTTAAACACTCTGTTCGCAAATGCTTACGCTTATTACAAAATTATGCAGAATTTAAACCGATTATCTAAGTATCCATAGATCTGTACTATCTCAAAATTAGCCAACTTGCTTAAATCAAAATCAAAAGACAAATATTCAGTTTTTTTTTTTTTTTGAAGCGCTCATTTAATAAACGTGTTTTAAATGTGTTGACTGTGTGTGTGTGTGTGTGTGTGTGAGTATATTGTGTGTTTTTGTATATTGCTTTCTGGTTTTACATATAGAAGATTGAACGTATTTACACTTGATTGATAATATTATTTATTACACATATACAATATACAGTAAGCATAACTAAGTTGAAAAATATGTAGTTAAGTGATTGTGCATCGATTTGTGCCGCCTAAATATGCAACTGGACTAATTAGCAAAACATTTGTACTTTAAAACGCATTGGTTTTTGTTTTTTATAAGTTTTAAGTTTTCACTTTTTTCTTTTGTTTGTGTTTTTCTTGTTAGCAACATACAACACTTAATGACTATAAATATTAAATACATCCCACTGATTTTTTTCTTTCTTTTTTTCTTTCGTCCTCTTTGCACTTAAGTATTCGCTTACAGTTAACGATATTTATGTGTGTGTGTGTGTGTGTGTGTGTGTGTGTGTGTAAGGCACGTGACACATTCCTGAACATGATGTGAGTATGTCTATATTATAGATTATATAGTTAAGTTAACACACATATACATATACACTATGTATCCAGCTACATGTATATAGTTAGTTATATGAATCTAGCAAAATTGGATTTAGTTTTTTTCCTTCTTTCCTTTCTCAAAATGTCACGATACGAAAACTTTTAACTTTTGTTTTTGCCCAGCAAATTGAAAATATTTAAAAAAAAACACCTTTAGGCGTCGTAAAATTGCTGTTTGCGGAATTTAGCCAAATGTAGGCTGCTTATATAGATCATGAGAGCTCCCCAATTGGTGCATTCTGCAGCCACAGATCGTGGATAAAGTTGTACAGATTATCGCTGACAGCAACCTAAAAGAATTATTGATAATAATTTAATAAAAGATAGAGTATGCGATAGTCGGGCTGTGTTTTACTTTGTAGGGCGTTGGATTTAGTGTGCGTTTGTGATCGTTGCGCAGCGTCTTCAGCGATATTTGCACCTTTTCGCGCACTTGTTCCAGTGTTGGCAGCATCTGACAAATTTTGCCCGCCTTCCAGTAGATCTTGTACAGAGATTCGACATGCGAGGGAATCACATAGGCCCGCTTCGATTCCTGGAACGGATGTCGGCACAACACCTTTTGGCCCACTGCGGGCGGATGCTCGGAGTCCTTTTGCAGCAAATCGATTAGGGCATGTCCATCGGCACTATATAGTCGATATGCATTCTTATTGCCAGGCATTGTCACCTTCTCTACATCCTGACTGAGTTTGATGCGCGCCTGCCCGTTGATCTCCACCAGCTTGTAGACACAGCCCAAGGCGGGCTGGCGTTGACAAGTCACTGTTTTCATAAGAAGAGTTAAGATTATATAGATTATTTTATAGACAGATGGATAGATAGAGATCAACATCGATCATTCCTCTGACTTCCTTAGTAATGATCTATCGAAAATTACCTTTAATTTATGGAGTATTTATTGATTGTCAAAGAAACTTTGGGTATTTATAAGCCCACAAAGTATATATGTTCTTGATCAGTATCAATAGACGAGTCGGTTGCATGAACGTTCCCAGAGATGAATTAACTTAAAACTATAGCTTTCCAATTGATATTTAATATAATCCGACTTAATATTTAGTAAATACATTCATGCTATGCTACATGCTACTTCCCATATAGACAATCTATCTAAAATTAGTTTTAAGTTCAGTTATACAAATATATCTGGTCTTCCAGTTTACGATAAATCGAATATAATTATTTGTTGCAGGTAATCAAACTGAGTTGACTTTCCTGCGCTTCTGGTTCTGAATTTCAATCGGTTATTTTCGGTTAGGGTTTGATTCACTGTCAAGCAATGAAAGCAAGTTGAACTTCATTTCCTGATCTTATTCTGAGATTTAACTGGTTAATTCCGGCTAGATTTCCATTCCTATTCTAGTTCTCTATTTCTATCTTTCAGTCTAAAAACTCACCCAAATGCGTTCCAATGCCAAAGCAATCGATCTTGTGCCCTTGCTCGTTCAGGCTGAGTATGGTGTCCTCGTTGATGTCGTTGGAGGCGACAATGGTCAGCTTGTTGAACCAGGGCACCTTGAACCGTTCGGCGACCTTTTCAAAGGCCTCGCGAGCCAAACACGACAAATAGGCCAAGTCCCCTGAATCGATGCGTATGCCAAGCGCATAATAGCCCAGATCGTTTAAGGCCAGGGCCACAGCGCTAAAGTTGAGCAGTCCACTCCTAGAGAAAGTCGCAGAGAGGGAGAGAGAGAAGAAAGAGAGGGAGAGAGAGAGGAGGAGAGAGAGAGAGAGAGGGAGAGAGAACAAAGTGAGCGTGCATTAGAAAACAAGTGTGTGAAATAAGAGCCAAAAAAAGTGCTGCTTTTGTTTGGGATTTTTCTTTTTTTGGAAATTCAAGTCAACATCTTTTCTTTTTTTTTACTACCAAGCACAAGAAAATTGGTGCAGTGTTTTTTTTTTAAATATAAAAAATTGCATTTGCCAGGTGTATTCTATTTCTAAGTTATTTGTTAAAAAATCTGATTTTTTTGGGGGAGACACAACTCAAGCTTCAATTACTGAAAGCCATGCAGTGTGCTCTCTCGGACGTTTGATAAATCTTTAAAACTAAGTAGATATATATAAGTATTTATATATATATAAATATTTAATACAAAAAAAAACACACACAAAAAAGTGTTCAATAAACCACAACAATTGTCAAATGGTGGAAAGGAAAACGTAACAAAAAATTAAAGTAAGGGGAAACTGTGTTCGAGAAATATAATTAAAAATAATATTAGCAGACATTAATACATATATATTAAGTATGCAGTTGGATGTATGCAACATTAGGGTGATTCAGTATGTATTTTTTTTGTTCAATTATTTTTTTGCTTTATGTTTTATCGCAAACTCATTTCTCATTTCGCAACATTTTGTTAAAAGTTCATTGAGCATCGGTGTGAGTGTTATATGAATGTATTTGTGTCTTTTCGAATATTCGTTTTTTGTATGTTTATTGTTTGTTTGATTTGTTTTCCTTTATGCTGGAGACGTGTTTTACATACCTCTTCCAAAATAGTGCCGGGAAGTCATTTTTACTGTGTTAAATGGGGTAATTTTCTTTCTTTTCTTTTTGTTTTTCTTTTAGGTTGGTAATTTTTCAATTTTCAAATGTCACAAATTCACGTAGAGTAAATCAAAAATCATAATGAAATGAAAATGTTGAGTACACAAATGAAAAAGCGAATCAGTTGGTTAGTTAATATTGAAATATTGAAAGCTTCGATAGATAAGAATATAAATAGAGTATTAAGTGGCCCAGCATTTAGTTTAAGAGGTTTTTGAAAAAAATAGACATTATATATTATTATTATTTAAAAAATAAAGCTATCAGCAAATGGTACACGGTATATATTTAAGGTAAGCCGAAGATAATACCTTAGTCCACCTAGGGACACCTCAATTTCCTTATAAACTTAAAAAACCGACAGAGCTATGTAATATTTTTTTTGCTTAAATAGTTTTAAAGTTTTCTCACTTAATTTTTTTAAACTTTTTTTAACAGCATTATCGTAAAACTCAATATACATATTCGTAATCGAATAGCGCCAAATATACCGGAATTTTTACAACAATTTTTATACGGGAATCGGAAACTAAATTCGCTGCGGTTATATAAGATATATATATATATATATATATATATATATATATATATATATATATATTAATTAAATTATAGTACCCTCTGAAACTTTCAATTCTTATTAATTATACAACCTTATTTAATTTAAAAGCCAAGCTCTGATAATATGTTTAGTGAAAGTTATATCACCTTTATAGATATTATTATCTTAAAGTAAAATCAATAAATTAAATGTTGCAGTAAATGCCGGGCACAAAATAATAAAAGTGGCACAAAATAATAAAGATTTGAAAGGCATAAGAAAGGCATCAATAAGGCACATCACCTGCTTTGCATATTGAGCGGACCAAAGGGGTAAGCAAATACCGTTAGCCTGGGCTTAGACCAATACATGAAGCACATACATACACATATACATAGTTAGGATATTACATATATGTAGTACATATGCATAGAATTTTGAATTTAGCAGCAAATTAGTTTAGTATTCAGTTTTTTTTTCTTTTTTTGGTACAGCGCATTATATGATGAAGGATGAGAATGATATTTTAGTTAGGGGCACTCATGCACGAAAAAAACAAATAACAAAACATGTGAGGGATAGCAGGGAGTTAGTAGGAGTTAAACAAGACAAGAAAACAAAAGACGAAACGAAAACGAGAATGGCAATATGAGAAGAGAAAATAAGAGAAGAGAAAGAATCGGTTTTTGGGAGGGGGTGCTTTGGGCATGTGACATTTACCTGAATGACTTCTCGACATATTTTGGTAGGTAGGCTGAAGTGATTGTTGGAGTCACAGGTGTTGCAGTTGCAGTTGCACTTGTTGCACTTTCTGTTAACGTTAGCTGGACACCATTTGTGGCATTTAAATGCTCGGAATGCCCATTGATCTTGTGTCCGTTTGCTAGTTGGCCATTTGTGCGCGGTGTGGCAGGTGGCGTTGGAGGAGCGTTGTTGCCGCTGCCATTGCTGGTACTGTTGCTGGCACTGATGCTGCCACTGCTGCTGCTGCCATTTGTTATTAGCTGACTCTGATTCTGACTAGATCTTGATTTGATATCAGTTTGTACGTATGAGACTTGTGTGACTTGTTCTGTTTCTCGGCTGTTGGGGAATACTTGTTTAATAATTATTACCAAAAGAAGCACAACAAAAGCGCACAAAACGAACACAACTCAAAATCTAGAAGGGTAGACGAGACACACGATATATAACTATGCATATATCTATATATATATATCTGATCTATGTAAGTATAAACTGCAAGTTGTTATTGTTGTAGCTGTTAAACTGTTGAGTTAAATGGTGCTCTCAAATCCATACTTGAAAGTTGTAAACTTACGACAAAAAACCAAAACGCAAAAGAATATTGAACAAAAATAAAATCGAAAAATCGAAAAACGAAACCAAAAAAACAAAAACACAACCAAAACCGTTCCGAGAGAATCAGCCTAAAAGCGAAATACCTCTTAACATCGTACGTATCGACAAGGGCCATAAATCCATCCGGAAATGCGATGGCATACGAGACCATGGCTGCCAATTCACCCTCACTCGACTCCTCCGTGGACACATCGAGGACATGCGACAACATTTGACGATGACGTATCGCATGCTCCAGCAGATCCTCCATCACACCTGTTTTATATATATATTTGTATACATTTGTATTTGCTTTTATTTCACTCACCGGTTTGCTTGTGCTTCAGCAGACGCGTCTTCAGCTCGCCAACGCTGCTGAAACTGGTGATGTAGGCGTGTGCATGAGTACCCTTAACGGGTATGTTAAACAATTTGCCAGCAAGCACATTGGAGGTGCCATCAAAACCACCTAGAATTGAGATAGATAGTTAGACAGATGTACGTAGATAGACGACATGTAAAGTTCAACTGTCTTAGTTATAGTTAAATCAAATCTCCTGGAAGATTTACTTATCCATTTCAGTTTTTATAATTTGCGAAATTCATAAATGAAATTTATAACAAGCATCGTTCCAGGATCAGTAAGAGAATGAGAATAAGAACCCGATGGGCAAATAGTACAAATTGTTTTTGTACTGATTTTACTTTATTCAGATGAATCCAGTTATTGGGAGACCATACACAAGATTCCTATTGAAGAATAAGACGCACAAGTGAAATATAAACAGTTTTGGAATCGACAAATTCTTTCGATCGAAATATGCTTGTCAAACTTAAGTTTAGAATCTAAAAGAACAGCCGATTCAACACCAAATTCAATACGATCATCTGGCTAAATCATTGTGCTATATCCTTATGCAGTTCTCAGGAGCTTAACGCATTGAGATGTCTCCGACTGCTTGCTCAAAATCACTAGCGTAGTCGATCTTTCTGTTCGTCCTCCCATCTGTCCCTTTGTCGGTCCATCTTTTCGTGTAGCACACATCGAAATTAAGAATCTCTTCCAAATTTCTCCTCTTTAAATCTGTGGTTCTGCTGATATTTGAGAAATATGCCTACCATCAGACTGGGATAGTAGGAAACCCTACATTTGTGAGGAGCATCATAGCTCTCAGGGCCCTACTTCAATTCAATATCAAGCGAACACCTTGAGAAGCTTTAAAACCACTCCCACACACTGGCGCAAAGTATTGGCGAGAGCATGAATTTGAAGAGCATTCGACACCACTGTGTCATGGCTGCCCATCAAAAATTGCAAGGGTTTCTTCTATTTTTTTTTGGGAAGACCTTGGATGCCAGTTGGACGCACGCGACTCTATCGATTGAGAATCGAGGGAGCCCAAAAACAAGAAACGAAAAAACACCAGAAATTCACGGATATATAATTAAACGCATTGCAAAGTTTAAGCGATTTTTCGTTATTGTTGCACAAAAACCAACACACAATTTTGCTTCTTCTTTTTTTGGGTGTAGAATGTAGGCAAAGTTACGATGTGTGAGCGCCAATTGAAAATGGGTGCCAGTTGGCGCCGGGCACCGTTGGAGACGGCAACGACGATGATGACTAGGACGACCCCACACATGTGCAGCAGAAGGTGGCAAAAAGTTTTCCAACTGTTTGCTGCTGGTTTTTTTTTCTTATTTATTTTTTTTTTTGGGTGCCATTGCGTGTGCCACCCACTTTTTAACACATACAAGGAGAGTTCTTGAACTTTACAGCGGAGATAGGGTTGAGATAGAGGGGCGTTGGTAGAGCAGAAGTTGGTGGAGTAGGAGTTACCATAACTGGGCGGGCAGAGCCACCACATCGAGTGACAGTGACACGTGCTTTGCATGCAAGCACATCATAAAGCACAAAAACAGAACAGACTCAAACAATATGAAATTGATGACTACAACAAGCCATAAAATATAAACTATAATATATATATATATATATATTTTATATATATATACATTTTGCCACTGCATCGATCAATGCGCAAGCTGAAGGCGCTATTTTGACGGCGTGTTTCTTTTGGCTCTGTTTTTTTTTTTAATTGATTACGAGCCGCCCTGCATGCAATTTGGCAATGCCAAAAAGGAAAATCCAAGCAATACACACACATTTGACCTTAGTTGTCAGTTCGGCGTACCTGTGTAGGAATACTTTGATGCGGATAATCCGCCATCCGGTCCCTGGGCACGACGCAGCCCAAACTCCAACAGTTTCACATGTTTGCCAGCAACCATGCGATAACGCGCTGCATTCGTCGCCATTAAGCTGGAATCGGCAAATAGAAAATAAAAGTTGATAGATGCGGATATAAATATAGATAGATAATATTTGATCACTCACCTGGCATAGTTGACGAGCGTGAGCAGCGTTGTCTCCAGCAGTTGTACAATTATCAAAGGTCCTTCGATCTTTATGATGGGCACACTGAAGAGCATATAAATATAGATTAGATTAGATTTAAAGCATAGCGATATTTTAAGTACTTTTGAGTTCTCTCTAGTTGTAGAGGTTAACACATTGAGCAATAATCATAGTTAGAATGCAGATAGAGCAGATTATTGGGCATAGGATATTACTCAAGAGATGTATCTAAACAAGTTAGAATGCTCTGGTCTCTTATCACTTATATCAACTAGTTTCTACAGATGGACGGACTCCACTGTTGATGATGATGAACAGTATATATACTTCGGATATGCTTTCTTCTGCCTGCTACACACTTTTCACACAACTTCCTCATACCCTTATTCATATTAATGGATTCAATATGAACATATGTTCAACTCATTTATCAGCAGTCCGAGAAGAATGCCACCAATATGAACTCACCGGGGAAATGCGACAGTGCCCTCATCGATGGCATAGAGTGTAACATCATGGGCTGTTAAATTGCCCAGATACTCGAAAAATTCGTTCTCAATGCCCTCGGGCAATGTTTGCCTCAAATACTCGATATCTGTAAAATCGAAATATAAAAATTATCAAAGTGCATAGTACAATTATCAATAAAAAACATAATAATAAAAATTGAACAATCAAACTCACCGCTCTGCGAATAATGAAAGCTATCCAAAAACTTGAGGCACTCCTCCAGACCGGCAAAAATGGTAAATTCACCGTGGAATGGATTGTTGCGAAAGAATAGGTCAAAGACCGCCTGGTCGTCTGTTTTGCCCGATTTCCAGTAGGCATATGCCATTGTTATTTGATACAAGTCTGAAAGAGAAAAACATCGATAAGCATAGACACACCTGACGATTAACCCAAAATAAAAAACCAATAAAGATATGAGAGCTACCGCACATACAGATTTAATCATTAAATGAACCCAAGCGATAAGATACGACCAAAGTTCAACTCGTGTACATAATTTGTAGTGCCTCAGGGCAATTGCAATGCAAATTCTTATCTACAATTTGCAAGTAAAATAAAACTCAAAGATCATCTATTTACATACATATAAATAACTACATTGTGCCTAGACAAAAATAGATAAAACTACAAATTCTAAAAACAAAAATAAGGAAATAAACAAAGCGTAAATGCCAAATAAAAGTTTTGCACTATTTTCAATTTTGTTAGCAAGTATATTCAAGCATTTGAAGCCTAAGAAACCCCATTCTGTTAAAACTTATATCTTCTAACTAATATTTAAATAGATATATATACATATATATACATTTGTTGTGGTTTTTGATGAGTTTCTGCTAGAGATTTGAGTGTTTGCAGGTCAGTGCAAAAGGCATTCAAGTTATTCATAAAGAAAGTGAATCACACATCTAAAAAGTACGTGATGCATTGCAATTGAGAGAGAATCGTATAAATGGAATATTTTCTTTCTTCTCACTTACAAAATCTAAAGTGATTTTTTTACAGGAAATTGCTTAGGGCTTAATCAATAAATCTTTTTGTGAGAAGTAAGTTATAATTATATAAGTTATAAATATATTTCCTAGAAACATTTTAAAAAGTCGTAAAAAGATCAACGATAATTATATATTTATATATATATGTAATGTCGACTAGGAGAACCATAAAGCCAAGTTTGTCTTTCAAAAGACGTACTTAGCTTAAGCTTAGCTTATTTAAACTAACATTGTGTAATTGGTAAATTTGAAGTTAGTCGTGATTTTCTTAACTTATCTTGATGAAATTTGAAGACCTTATCAATATCATGTTTGGGTGAAATAAACTTATTGATAAAGATATATTTTTAAAATTATGGCTCTGATTGTTTTGCTAAACAATTTTGGTCGATTTCAAGAAAACGTAGAAAGTATTGGTAAAATGAAATAAACTTGATCTTCATTTGTTATATGAGAATTTATATTACAAATTTCAAGTCTCTCGCTTTTATAGTCTCTGAGATTGGCGCACTTCGGATGCTAATCCAGACTATATATGCTTAACAGCATATTGCAGATTTTTCACATATTTATCCATTTTCTATGAGTTGAGATTAATTACCTATAATTAACACAACGAACCCAAATCCTGCAGAACTTATCAGCGCCTCAGCTTTTAATTGCTGTTATAAATACATATCTATATATAGATTATGCATATATATATAGATGTTACTTACCGGTAAGCAGAGGCTGGACAACGCCATTCTGATTCATTCGTCCGCGATCCATAAATTGTCCGCCCGAATTGCAGCTAGGTTCACGGTCATTCATGATCACAATATATTCAAATCGTTGTTGTTCCTTATTTATGGAGTATTTATATTTATTGAATATGTAAATAGCTCTGATTAAATTAATATTCTTGCAATTTTAATTCAAAAAGCCGTTGAACTTTTACGCCAACTGCAGCTGTTGTTGTTGTTCTTCTTCTTGATTTGTATATCTGTAAAATTGAACATTAAACGCTTTAATTTGTGTTTGCCTTTTTTTCTAATTATGTAGAGATGTTTTGAGTGACGTAAGCAGCAGCAGCAGCAGCAGCAGCAGCAGCAGCAGCAACTGCAAATTAAAACACTCTCTTCGAATACTGGGTTAATTAAATGCAAAAATTTACAAAAACACACACACACTAATTCAAAGTTATCAGCGGATATCGAAGGTTTTGCATACAAAAGTCTTCTTATCAGTCGGTTTATCAGACGCAGACGCATTCGCAGACGCAGACAGAGACGGAAGCACTGGGTCAGCGCCAATGACAATTATCAAGTCGTCCACGCGTTTTTGGACACTATCAACACTATCAAATTCTTAAATATTTTTATATACATATATTTGTTTTTTGTTTTCCTTTTTTGTCGCGCGATCAAAACTTTTTCGCTTAGCGTTTCAAGCTCAACTGAAATGAGCTGAGGCAATCGAGTTAATGCCGAGCGAAATGCTGAGTGCTGAGTGCTGCTCAATGCGTTTTTCTGTTTTACTGTTTTTTCTGTAGATGCAGCGCAAATATGGACAAAAAATTTGCTTGCTGGGAGAATTTGTTGATTGTTGTTACTTAGCAGCCGGCAGGAGTGAGTGGTAGACGTGGGGGAGAGAGGAGGGGTTGCTATCCCCCATCCCGAAGAGAGCGACAGAATAAACGAAAGAGAGTGAAAAATAGCGAGAGTTTGGGTTTGGCGGGCTCTGCAATTTGGCTTTTTAGAGACAAACGCGAAGATGATTGTGAAAAGCACGACACGAAAAATAGTTTTTTGTTTTGCATGAACTTTGGAGCTGTTTTAATTATTGTAAATTGCCTTATCAATATAGTTTGTAATATAAAACAATTTGAAAACAGGAAGTAAATAACTTTTTCCAAGATCTTTTGAGCTCATTTCATGATTCCATATTAGTTTATAGTTTGTAGTTTAGAACAATTTAAAAGCCCGACACGCAAAATAGTTTATTGCATGAACTGTGCAGCTCTTTTAATAATTCAATATATTTCACAATTCAGAATGGTTTATTATGTACTGTTCTCATTATCTTGTTGATATAATTTAGAATTTCTTAATCAACATTGTATTTGTTTTTGTATTGATTATCATTGCTCCAAATTATTTCGATAAGTTGCAACACACACGATAAACGATCCGTGCGTACCGATCGCCACTCGTGTCACGCACGCGGCCGACTCTAGTTTGGCGGGCTGTGCTTTATTTGGGTTTGTTTATTTCGGCTGCTGTCCGACGATGTCTGTCACGATGTCTGCAGCTGCTACTGCTGCTGCTGTTGCTGATTCTATTGATTATTATGTGCTGATGTCGTCGTTGGCCCCAACATGTTGCACACTGGCAGCAGCGCAGCATTAAGCCAGTGAAGGTTGCCTGAAGGTCGGCGGGGCGCACACACGAACACGCACGCATACAAACACACACGCGCTGCTGGGCGGGCAAGTCAAGAGACGTACTCAAAGAGCAAAAAAAAAGCGGCGCATATGTTGCAATTGTATGTGTGTATGTGTGTGTTGTCACTGCTGATGCAATGTGCAACTGATTGCAACACTCACTTTCACTTTATCTGCACGTTTCAATTCATAATTAAACAAATTGGCGACTGCCTATTTATTCTGCCTTATTTATTTAGATGAACATTTGCAGCAGCAGATGTTCGCAGAGCGGCGTTTTCAAACACTACGCAGAGAGACACACACATTAAGGTTAAGATGCTGCTGCTGCTGCTGCACACGCGAAAATAGCAAAATAAACGCCAATAACTTCAATGGTTAAAGTTAAAAGCAAAACGCAACTAAACAAATCAGTATGCGACTAGCGAGCGCTCTCAGCTGATAAGAGAGCGGTGCTGTCCACTTGCTGACACGCGCAACGGCAGGTTGACATATGTACGAGGTGCGCGCTCATTGAGCACGCGCATGACGTCACAGCTGACAAAGGGTTGGAAGTTAGTATGAATTTGACTATTATTTTGATTAAGCTATGATATGTAAAGTGTTGGAAAGTAACTATGAATGCTTTTTATTATTCTTTAAAGCGATGTTCCTTAACAAACACGCCTTTAATCCATCGAAGCTTCCAACAGTGCTCTAAAACGTTATGGTATTTGAAAACAACAAAAAAAGGAGCGCTTTATTTATGTCACTTCAATTTCAGTATTATTTACATCCGCTGGCCAATCCAAATCGATGCCAACTACATCTAACGCTACGATATCGATGGGTTTGCCAATTATGGAAGATATGGATGGAGTTGTGCGTCCAAATTCACCATGAACCAGTTCCTTGATGTAGGTGCCCGCCTGGCTGACCACATCGATGATGAGCAATCGTCGATTCTCGCGTTGAACACGCGCTTCGACACTGAATATGGTGCGGGGTCGAGTGTGAAGCGGTCGTCGATGCAACACTCGAATTGGAGTCTTCTGTTGTATATCAAAGCTGTCAGAGATTTGCAGCTTTTGCAATATGTCCAATGTGACTGGTTCTTGGAGCACGCACAGAGCACGATAATATTTACGCTTCTGTTCCTCGCCCGTTTTAATGTGAGTGAGTTCCTCACGCGGAACAACTTGTAGATTATGTATGGATACTTTGCCAGTGCAATCGACGGCCTGCTCCATGGCCAGTGCTTGCTGACGAGTCATGCTACTCCTGCGGGCATTTGGTATTTCCAGGACAAAGGGACGTCCTTTGCCCAGGCAACGCACATCCACATCTTCCCTGCCACTGGACATGAATGTGATCTTCTCGGGCGTTTCAGTAAAATATGCTGCAACATGTCGTACAATAATCTCCTCAATGCTATCCTCCATGATGCGCTGCCCATGGAGCACCCAAGGCGTATGCGACAGCTCGCGACTCAACTTACGATAGCGTCCAGCCACACAAACAATGGGACCCAGCAGCTCGATGGATTGCAGCTGCAACGGATCCATTACAGCCGGTGGTGGTATGGGCAGATATTGCTCGAAGAGATCGCCTTTGATGCGTGACGGTTGGTATTGTTTCTCGAGCAGTCCACGAGAGATTTCCACACGTCTGTGGTTCTTGGCGGGAAATGCTGCACGATTGAGTTCACTGAGTTTGGCCACAACATCCTCCTCCGAGCTGTGTCGCAACTCAATGTTGATCATCAGTCCATTCGCATCGTATTCCCTGCCCAGCTTGGCACACACAATGGGATGTAGAATTAGTTTCACAGCCTCCTTTATGGGCACATCGGGTGCATTGTGATCCGCCACAGAGGAACGACCAAATTTCCGTTGCAGTGCAAACCACATGGATAACTGACGCAGCTGTAGAGTCATCGGCATACTGATAGCCAGAACGATGCCGTCGCTATCATATTTTGCGAAATCGGAATCAAGAATCCCCTGGATCACTTGTCTTTGCAAATCCTCCGAGAAGAGGCCCAGGCAAATGGAGCATATGCTCAGGCGTTGCTTCTTCAACGGCTGCTCATCAGTGATCTCGTCCACAACTATAGTGATATCGGGCACTTTAACATCCAGCTAGAATTAAGATATTATCTCTTGTAATGTGGCTAATATTTTGGTAATGGATTTAAAAGTGATTTGCCCACGCGCTTGAATGTTTGCTGCATATCGCGATATTCGTTGCCGCGCGCCTTCAAATAACGCAACTGACACACGCGGCAGACGCCACATGACTCTAAGTAATCAATCAGTTCCTGGTTTTTCATATTATTTCAATTGTTAACTCAAAGCGAAATTGAATCGAAATGCGAGCAGAAATTATAAGCCTCCAACTGTAAACAAAACGTGCAACCAAAGCTAAGTTTGTCAACACTCATTGCCTTTTTGAGTCGTGTGGTGGTTGGTCGATAGAACAGCGAACAGCTGTAATGTATCGATAGTGCTCATTTCTCGAAGTGTGCCCAACTTCAGCTACAATTAATCGGTCATCTATTGTCAAATATTCCTATTTTTCGTTTTATTGGAATTTAAGGTGCGTTTTAGGTGCTTAAGTGCTGTTTTTGTACGAAACTCGACTTGGAGTGCTCCCCCAGTAGCCGCCAGTCACATTGACGGTCCTAAGACAGCAGTTAAAAGCATTGTTATTGTTACGTCACAGAGCACAGGCTCCAACTGGAAAACACAAATAGTACAAATTCATTATTAATTTTCAGCAGAATTTGCCCACAATATGTCGCTGACGCCCTTCCTGCGCCTGCCACTCACCGATTTGACCGGTTGTCTGATCAATCATCAAACCTACGATAAATGTGGCAAATTCGAAATGAAAATGATGGACTGCCTGGAAGCCTACGGCTTGGAACGCGGCAAGAAGATGTGCGCCGATCTCATCGGCGATTTCCAGGAGTGCGTCGGCATGCAAAAGCAGATACTCCGCTTTCACGTTAGTTGAAATTACTACTACTATATATAAATCAATAATAAATTCAACAATATTTTTTTAGGCCATGCGAAATGAGCGCTACAGGCAATGGCTGGCCGGTGAGCGCAAGCGGGAGGATCTCTTTGCGGAACCACCACGTGTAGATGCATATTAAGCTGCTGGCAATCGGGGAATAATAGCATATGTTTAGCCCAAATATGTTTTAAAAATAAATGAAAGTTATGTACGAAAGAGTTAATGTTTCTCTTGTTTATCGTTAGTGTTGGTCAACGCGTGCATGCAGCCCACCACCATCTGTCAGCGAGTTGGCAGCACTGCCATTTGTTTTTGGCCGTCGAAAAATTGCTCGCAAACGTTTATAACAATTTTAAAGTTAAAATGGCCACAAAACGACCCAATAATAGTGTGGTGCTTGCACAGGACCCAAAGCGCAGTAAAAGCGAACTTATTGCATACACAAATCGCGATAAGGCGCTGCTGGAAGCGGTAAGCAAAGCGGCGTAGAAGAAGAAGAGCGGGCAGAAACTGCATTTTGTAGAGTGCAGTAAAAGTATACGACGAGAAGATACCCTGTTTACATACAAATATAAAGCTCACACAGCGGCACATGAATATATCAACATATATTTAAATTAATTATATTATTGTTGTATAGTTAATTTAATTATACCCTATGTTTGCAGGGCGTGCGTCGCACTTCGAATCTGGAGGCGCCCATAATGCAGCTGGAGGGACATGAGGGCGAAATCTTTACCACAGAATTCCATCCGGAGGGGGAAATGTTGCTCTCTTCCGGTTTCGACAGGCAGCTGTGTAGGTGCAACTATCACAATTGCAGAGGATGCCCAAACTTAAAGATTTCCCCTCGTTGCAGATATCTGGCAAGTGTACGGGGAGTGTGAGAATATAATGGCCATGTCTGGTCATACGGGCGCCGTAATGGAGGCTCACTTTACGCCGGATGGTTCGCACATTTTCACCTGCTCCACGGATAAGACGCTGGCCATTTGGGACATTGTGACGGGTCAGCGAGTGCGACGCCTCAAAGGACACACGAACTTTGTGAACAGTGTGCAGGGTTCGCGGCGGGGTCAGCAGTTGTTGTGCTCCGGCAGCGATGATCGCACCATACGCATCTGGGATGCGCGTAAAAAGCAGGCTGCCCATTGCCTGGAATCGCCCTTTCAAGTGACAGCGGTTTGTTTTGGCGACACCAGCGAACAGATCATCTCGGGTGGCATTGACAATGAGCTGAAGATTTGGGATATACGCAAGCAGCAGGTGTTGCATCATTTGCGCGGACACACGGACACCATTACGGGTCTGTCGCTGTCGCCGGAGGGCGATTTTGTGCTCACCAATGCCATGGATAACACGCTGCGGGTGTGGGATGTGCGTGCGTATGCGCCCGGCGAGCGTTGCGTCAAAGTCTTCCAGGGACATCAGCATAATTTCGAGAAGAATCTTTTGCGTTGCGCCTGGTCACCGGGCAGCGATAAGATTAGCTCCGGTTCCGCCGATCGGCATGTGTACATCTGGGATGTGAACACCAGGCGCATTCTCTACAAGCTACCCGGGCACAATGGCAGCGTTAACGATGTCGATTTCAGTCCGCGTGAGCCACTGATTCTCTCCGCCTCCAGCGATAAGACTTTGTACCTGGGCGAAATCGAAGATTAGTCTGAGCTCCACTTTTTAAGCAACAACTATAGCTAGTTTTAAGTCCAAATAAAGTCGATGGAAAAAAGCTACATTTTATTTCTAAACATTTTTATGCTCCACTTGACTTATAACTTTATCAAAATTGAACCGATTTTTGGTTGGCATCCATATAAAAACCAAATCCACTTGGGAAGGGCTATAAATTTTGAAAACTGCATCGATTCACAAAAACAGTACCTGTTTAATCTCTGATCAGAGAGATAGATCTAATCTTCTGAGTAACATAACTCAAAACTTAACCGAATTTTCAAAAACGACGACTTTTTAATCATGGGTTGCCTCTAGAATAATACTACATCTGAATTTGGATCGCGATTCTGATTCGATTTTCATTTTAAAATTAAAGCCTCAAAGAGACATTTAAGTATGGCCTGACTCCTAGAATAAGACTAAATTTAAAGCTACGAATTTGATTCTGGCTGCAAATTGACGTTAAATGTTCTTCCTTGAGTGGATTTTCAAAAGTAATATATTTTTGAGTATGGCTTAACCCCTAGAATATTTCTACGTTTAAAGTCGTAAATTCGACTCTTTTTGAATACGGCTTGAGCCCTAGAATAATTGCAATTAGGAAACACGATTTGCACTCCAAATTAATTTAAAAATTCCATCCAAAAAAACCTATCTCCAAACTAGAAAAAAGCCATATCGTCTACAGTTTTTCGATGCTTGTATCACAAATGTTTTATTTCAGCATTATAATAACGATTAATAAATAAAAGTCTGTATATATGTATAAGTTGTTTTGTGAGGGAGGGGGAGGGGAAAAATGTTAAACGGGCAGCACAGTCGATGAGCTGGAAACGCTGCTCTTGAACAGCTGTCCAAAGAACTTGAGGCCCGTTGCCCCGCCCGGCACCATGCCCAGCAGCATGAAGAGTAACGTGATTATCTGTGCGACGGCAAATAGAACCGTTAAAGCTGTGCTCTTCGCCACGAGCGCAAAGTAGAGTGTCAGAGTGAGACAGGCACTGTACGAAATGGATGTGATTAAACGGGGCTTGGAGAACATCTGTTTGACGAACGCCTGGAAGCCGACGAGAAAGCAAAAGCTCAAGATGAAAAACAGGCTGCCGAGTGTGAAGAGCAGAGCAAACTTCGGCTTCAGCATCAGCACTGGAATGTACAGCGTCGACAGCGTCATGCAAAGGCAGCCCATTCCCAGACAGGCAACGAAGCCAACAATGCGCTGCAGTCTCGACTGTAAAAAGAATAAAACAAATTACATTATTTACATGCAGACTGGAATAAAGTACGACAGAGATCGCTTGGAAAATGGAACGTAAATTGGAATGCAGGCAAAAAAGCGGTCCCGCAGGACATAAACTCAGTGGAAATAACTCATGAATTGGCATGCCTTCCAGCACTACAACACAAGCAAGCGCGCAATCAAAAAGGTTTTTTGCACAGTGTACAGCTGTTGCAAGAACAAGCACAACTTGGCACGGGACATATTCCAGTTGAAATAAACAGATGAATCGGCATGCCTCCCAGCTGTAGTGCTACACGAGCGATAACTGCAGAAATTAAATGTTTATTTCACACACCAGCTTGGGGCAGCATGAGTCCTGTGTGTCCTTCAGCCAACTGTTTGCCTCTGGTTGGTCCGCGTTGCGGGAAAAGATGTTCGTCAGTCCTGGGACCTTAATCTGTGGCAGTTTCACATTGAAGTTCTTTTTCTGATCGCTCTGCAGCAGTAAATACTCATCGAGATCCTGTTTTAGGTTGCTCATTCTGTTTTGCGGTGGTTGAAATGCCACCGCATAAATATTTTTTAATTATCGTAATTGTGTTCTTTTGTTTTATTTGTTTTGTTGCCAGCCCGACAATTAATCGTGTGTTGTGTTCTGTTGGCAGCACTAAAAGTGCTGTGAAGTGCGTATAACGTGCTGGTTAACAATCGCTTGAATTTGAAATTTGACTGCAAAATTAAAATTGTTACAATTTATAGTTAAATTTTTAGCAAAGACTACAATTGTTTTTATAATTTATTTATTTTTATTATTATTTAAATGTTATTTCTTGCGAATTCATTTTGAGTTCCAATAATGAAAACATAATGCAATTTACTGTTATGCCTATAAAATAAACACTAATTTTTATATTTTTAATATCAACCGGTCGTTGCAGGGCATTTTACTCATTCAAAAAATAATTCACAACTTATATTAGCAGCAATAGCAGTAACAGACTTCTGACGTCGCAAATACCAACCACAGTTCGACCTACGCATCACTGATGCTGCGCTGCCAACCTATGTCTAAAGAAAAATACCATTTTGCTGCCCCTTAAAAGTGCAAGCGTTGCCATACTTCGAAGAATGCCCGCCGTCACGATTCAAATCTGGCAACTCGCTAATTCTTTCAGTTTCAGTTGAATTTTTGTCGTGGTTGGTTCGTTGTCGCTGCGCGCGCGGCGAATATGTAATTAAACTGAATTGAAATTACAAAGTATAAATTGATAATATTCAAGACGCCGAAGACACGCAAAATTACAAAAAAAAATAAGAAAAAAAAAGTAAATATTTATTAAATATATATGTAATAACGGAAATTAAAACCCCCTGCTCTGTGCCCCTGCATTAGCCATAAAAAAACGTCGCGATTCCATGCAAAGGCTCTTCTATTTATGCAAATTGTGTAAATGTGCATATGTGAGAGTAGAAGAGTGTCGCGCGCTTGTATGTGTGTGTGTGTGCGAGTTGAGTGTGTGTGTGTGTCTGTGTGAGTGCGTTTTACGTATATGTGTATGCATGTGAGCGAGTGCGTGTATGTGTATATGTGTGCGTGTGGGCGATTGTGTTTATGTGAAAACGCATTAATTACACAAATACAAATGCAAATACAACAACAAATGTAAATACAAATAAAATACAAATACAATCAAACACAAACAAAAACAATACGTAAAACGCAAAGCAAAGCAAAAGCAGCAATTTGAAAAGCCAAAAAAGTATTTCAAATGCAATCTAAATACAAAAAAAATAAAGAAATTTTAATGATAATTTTATAAAGCAAATTTTTTATTATTTTTTCCGCATAATTTGATAAAAATATAAAAAATTTGATTTGTGATGTTGGTTTTTTGTTGCTGAATCAAATTCACTAAAATAAATAATAATAATTTACAGCAAAATTCCAAGTGAAAATATAAATAAGAAATAAATAAAATTTTTGACTCCGGCTCGTGATCGAATCGAACTTAACGGGAATCGTTGCCTTTGGAGGTTTTTCGAAAATAATGCTCAAGTTTCGAAAACAGTCCAAAACGGTTTGGAATTAAGCTGGAATTACGATCGCAACTGGAAGCAATCTCTGCTTCAATGGTGTAAGTAGACTTTATTCCAGAGGTGAACTTTACTTCCAGTAAATTTATTCCAATGGAATTGTACATTTACTAATATGAAATATCATAATTTGGGTCATTTTCTTTATATTTTAGTTAAAGAAATTAAATCTGATTATACTAAAAAATTAAAGAGATTTTATTTTTTTTCTATAAATATTTAAAACTTAGTTAAATGAAAAAATTATGAATTAAAGATATTTTCATTTGGTGTACATTTGTAAATAATTTAATACAAAGAATAGTCAAATTTATATTGAAAAATTCAAGATATAATTTATTTCTTTAAAATTTTGTTCAAGAAAAAATGCTGATTATACTGATCAAAAATTAAGGACATTTTCTTTTTTCTACATTGATTTCAAGCAATCGCTGAAAATGTATAGTAAAAGATAATTTCATATTTTTCCTAGATTTCTATAAAATATATTTTCATTTTTACGTTTTCTTTGCAGCTCTCAACACAATTGGTAAGGAAACAACTCAGCAACTGGAATCTTTATAATAAAAAAAACAACAAAAAATAGTGCTTATTGAAAAATATCCATAAAATCTGTGTTAAATTGGCGGCTTTGGAAAAAAGTGTTGCAGTGTTCAAGAAAAAAGAGCAAATAATACAAAAATAAAGTGTTTATAAAATGTAGAAATTACTAAATTTAAAACCAAGCCAGGCGCACAAAGATTATGCCAATTTTTAACTTAAAAAAAAAAAACACAAATATATAAAAATGTATGTATATTGTGTATATATAAATGCATGTGTGTGTGTGTGTATACGCCCAGGACTCGATTCGTCGTTGATTTTCATGTGGAGAGCCGATCTACAAAGCTGCGCAGCACAAAGAAAAATGGCACAACGATTCACAACGAGGCAGCTCCAGTTTTTTTTCTTGTTTTTTTTTTTTGGGGCTGGGGGCGCTGCCGCTGCTCTGCCGCCGACAGCGACAGAACTACAACAGCAACGGCAACAGAGCAATAGCAATTAACTCGAAAGCAAAGAATTTCATCAGAAATTCGAAGCACATAAGGCGAACGGATGACGTGCAACGGGCTGAAAAAATAAACGAGGCAGCAGCAGAAACAGCAATAGCAGCGGCAGCAATCGCGAGCACTAGCAGCGACGTCGACAGCGAAAAATCCAGGCTGACAGCTCCCCCTCAACGAGTTGGCAGCACAAAAACAACAACGAAAAGTAACATGGCGCTGCCATGTACAACTTGTCTGTGTATGTTTGTATGCATGCATGTGTGTGTGTGTATGTACGAATAACGCAAATAAAGAAGCAGTATGAGCGAGTGGGCAACATATTCGTATGTGGCGGTGCGAGTGAAATGGCGTTGTGCGCATAGAGAGAAATTGTCGTGTCGCGTCGCGTTGTCGTCGTTGTCGACGTCGTTTGTCGCTCGTTGAAAAATCGATTCAGCTGCACACGAAACGAGAACGCGCGCGTGCAAGCGAGAGGAGACCAATATCAATGAGTGCGAGCGAGCTGCCGGCTGCAGTAAAAATACGTGTTTTTTTTTGTCTTTTCTTTTCGTTTCTTATTTAACCCGTTTCTCGTGTGCGTGCGCGTGCGCCTGTATGTGTGTGTGTGCATGAATGTGTGTTTGAACTGCTAGAAACTACGTTGTACGACAAAAACTACAAAGTTTTCGTTCGTAGCTGTTGTTGTTGTCCGCGGCGTGTGGTGGCATCCCTGGCAATATCCCCCACCCCTCTCCCAACTGTTCGTTATATTGCAAATGCGGTCGTCGCACGACTTGTGTGAGTGTATGTGTGTTTGAACGTATGTGTGAGTGGTCACGTAGTAGCGCTACAAAAATGACTGCATAGTTTGCGCTGACTACAAAAGCAGCAAGAAGAAGAAAACGAAGAAGCAGAGCATGAGGAAAACTGGTTTGGTTTCTGCTGCTGCTTCTTCTGCTGCTGCTTTGGCTTTAGCAGCTGCTGCTGCTGTTGGCAGCATATTAATGAATTCGAGAATTCTTTTAATGGGTATTTTTTTATTTTTGTTGCTGTCTATAAATGGTCTTAGAGCGTTTTAGCCATAAATGTCGCGCAGTTTTGCTGTAATATTTTTAATCCAAATACGTGTTGCCAACAACAAAATGGCCGCCAATTTAGAGAAAAAAAAGGACATAGAGAAAGAGAGAGGGAGATCGAAAATGTTAAACGCACAAAATTGAACAGAATTTGTATTTTTTTGTTTGTTTTAGATTGTTTTTTTATAGCAATATATTTTCAAATTAGATTTTTGCACACGTCAAAAGAAAAAATGGGTGCTGAGAGCCCCAAAAAAAGCAAAAACAGAAAATAGAGTAAATCAAGCGTTTTGAACCGCACCCCAGCAGGCATACAAAGCGACTGATGCGCAGCGGCCAAATTTTAGTACAGCCAAGCCAGACAGCTCCACCACAAAAAACTTTCACGATCGATTGGCAGCCCCCAAACCGACGACGACGACGTCGGCAGCAGCAGTAGCGACAACAGCAACACAGCAATGGCTGCCGCATTAAGCTCACCTCTCTCGCTCTCTCTCCAACGTTAAGTGCGGGTGCGAATGCAAAAGCGCTAATGTTTTGTGTTCGCGTGCAAGCGAGAGAAAAGGCATTTTAACGCCCGCTAGAGTCTGCGCGTTATACACATGCACACATACAAACATATATTTATGTACCTTTTTATGGGCTTCATTTTGTGCGTGTGTAGTTGTGATTTCCTGCTGCGCCCCAAACATACCCACAAAAAGGGCCCCCCCCCCCCCAAAAAAAAAACAGCAACAGCAAAGAAAAAAAAACAAAACACAATGCTTAGCTACAAAACTACAAAAAATAATAAGACGTGAAATAACAACGCAAAGCAACCCTCTCAACTAAAACACACGCACACAAACACAACCAACTACTTACAAACACACACACACATGACTACATAACCATTTATAAATACACAGCAAAAGCAGCAGCAGCAACAACAACAACAATGACAAACGGCAAAAACAAAACTCGCAGCAAAAATACTCGTTTTTTCCATGCCTTGCCTTGCCCAGGCAGCAGAGGACAGAGCACAAAAAGTACCAGCTATAAATTCTTTATGTACATAAAAGTACATAACACAACACACACACACATAGATATATATATACGTGCACATAGCAATATGTGCGCTGAAGCAGCAACAACGCGCCATTAAAACAGTGCTCTATCTCGCTCACACAACAGACACCCCACTTTGTGCTGTGCTCTGCGTGCGTGGCTGTGTGCGTGTGTATGTGTATGAGTAGCTATAACAACCACGTCAGACAGCAGCAGCAGCGACAGCAGTTCAGTGCAAACGTCAATTATAAGCAAAACAACGTTGCCAAATTTCACTTCACGCTACACAGCGTGCACAAGACAGAGATAGAGGTTGAGCGAGAGCAAGTGAGAGCAAGCAGCAGCAGCGGCATGCGACGTTGCTTAACTTCACGCCATCAACAAAAGGCAATAGCAGCAGCAGAGCGACACAGGCAGCGACAGCAGCAGCGAGCAGCAGTCATGAATTGTTGTTCTTGTATTTCCATGTTGCCTGCCTTTTTGGAATTTTTAACATGCGCCCCGCTTGGCTTGGCTTGGTTTGCCTGGCTGACTGGATTTCATTTTCTTCTTTTCTTCTCTCTCTCTCTCTTCTGCTGCTGCTTATTGTTTTTTTTTTCTGCTGTTGTATTTGGCCGGTTCGTGGATTGATGGCGTTGTTGGTTCTTGGACCTGGAACCCGGCCCCGGTACGGCTGCCTGCCTGGCTTTGATGTTGTTGTTGTAACGTTGACTGGATTATAATAACGACGTTGACGTCGACGTGAACGTTAACTTCAACGTCGCTGCTCGCATTTTCCAGCTTATGTTTGTCGTTGTTGTTGAGGAAATGCGCTGCAATACTAGCGACCAGACCCAGACCCAAGCCCAGGCCTTATTATATATATATATATATATATACATATATATATATAACTCTGTATTTACAGCCCCTGTGTCCAGCAGCAGCAGCAGCGCCTTTTCTTTTGTAAATTGAGCGCAAAGATCTCGCGTATCTCATAGATATATGTATATATACACCATGTACTATGTACATTTTTATATTGTTGTTGATTTCAATAAATTTAAATTGCTCTCTAGTTGAATTAAATGAAAACATTTTTTATTGTGTATTTATTTTTAGTGCTATAAATTAACATAAATTGGCATAAGCTTTTTGTCGTCGACAAGTCTTCAATCAAAAAAATTGTATAAGTAAATAAAAGAGGAAAATCTATTAAATTGTGGCTCAATTAAAGTTGAAAAGTGCAAATCAAAAAATAAGAGTGCTCCATAATAAAAGAAATTGCATTTCATAATCTAATCATATAAAGTATCTGTTCTCTTCCCATCCATTTTTTTCACCCACCTCCTTATTCCCCCAAAATCTATTTACAGCCCATAATACATAAAAAAAAGAAAAGCAAAGCAAATAATTCAATCGATCAACGATTGATCAATCGTCTACCGCTGTCTCGCTCCCTCTCTCTCTCTCTCTCTCTCTCTCGCGTTGTGTCTGTGTGTGTGAAGAGCAAGAGAGAAATAAAAGAAAATAAATAAAAATGCAGCAATCAATGCAATGAGAAAAAAATTCAGAAATCGATGAGATCTAGTGCAAATTAAAAGTATCTCGAAAATGTGCGAGTGAAGCCCGAGCAATCAACAACAACCACAACAACAAAGATAAATACAACAAAATAAAAGATAAAAGAAAATCAACAACAAATAGAAAAAAGATAAATGAAAATAAGAGTTCAATCTCGACGGGGGAGATATTCAATCAATGGGAGGAGCGCGCCCATTTAAAATTATGCGCCTCCACAAAACGACGGCATACTACGGGAAATGCTCAATAGATCGTGAGTTGTCATGAAACATGGTACGCGACAGCAGCCGTAACATTTGTTTTGGAAAATTAGCCGAAACTACGCAGCAACAACAACAACAAATAGCCGTGGATAGTAGCAGCAGCAACAATAATAACAACAACAATAACAACAACCAGAAACTACGCGATACATTAAAAAGGTAAGATCTGGATTAGTCTTAAAAACAAAAAATAGAAAGAAAAGTAGAAGAAAATGCTTACAAGAGAAATTTAAATATTACTGGAATATTTATGGAATTACTCAAACGTAGAAGCGGCAAAGAAAGCTCAAAGTAGAGATTAAGAGCAAACAAACAAAAAAGTGAATACAGTTTTCTGGAATAAATTATGTTGAAAATGTACAACTCGAATGGGAAAGATTGGTTCTGGCATAGTTGTGAAGCTGCTGAAGAAATAGAGAAACTTGGAGAACCAAGCAAAGATTTCTGGAATATGGCATATTTGTTAAGTAGTTGAGAAACTATAGAAGTAGGCAAAGATTTCTGGTATATTTCCTAAGAAAAAAGTAATGGAGTTATTAATGGAATTAGTCCATGGTAAGTTCCAGCTATTCCTATTCCTTGTACATGGAAATACAAGTTAAATTCTCGAAAGTTTTGACAATTTTTTGTAGATTAAAAATATTCCTAGAATTTGAAAAGATATTTGATTTTTTTCAGACTGCCGGATGCCCAGCACTCAGATACATTTAGCAGTTGTATATTTCATTTGAAAACTACTTGGGTCTTATCTGCAAAAGAACTGATAATACTTTGTCAGACTCTGCAAATAGTTATTTGAATTTGACTAAGTACAGCAAAGTCTGCCCTTGACAATCATCTGTAAGAAAATGCAGATGTGCACTGAAAACCACTTGAATTATATTTGATCCAACAAATGCTACTTAGAGAGAGGCTGTAAAATTATGGGAAAATATCGATTTTACAGAGCACAAATCAAGCTGCACTTGAAATATGACCAAAATAAAGACCTCCACTATATCTATGTTACTTTAAATAGATCACAAAACTAATAGGCCTTGCAGATGCAGCTAGAAAACTCTAGATAACCTACTCTTATATTCATGATACTTGTCTACACTTGGCTAAAGGCTTACTTTATTGAGCCTTTAGTATTTTCTGAAATGTACTGGATTTCTATTAAACAACTTGTAAAACTTTATAGTATAGCTGGTAAACTCTAGATTATGCCACTCTCATATTCATGAAACGCTGTATATAAATCATACTAAAAGGATCTAAATCAAACTTCTGTAAAAAGAGACATTTTTACACGCGCTATGCATAAATTCGATTTTTCCACTGAAAGATTTCCCCAGAAATTTACCTGGAATTTTCCGTACGTGGAAACTGCTAGATGTCTGCTTAAAATGTATCTCGAAGCTAATGCAGCTAGAGATCTACAGTTGCTGCTGCTGCTGCTGCTGCGTAGGCCCTAAATTCAACTAACGGTTGACACAAAGCTCTAAATCAAAAGCAATAAATCGCCCCAGACCTATGCAAAGTATCTCAGAGTTTGAGTGGGTTTTTTCTTATTTTAATTTTTTTTGTGTGAGGCTCTCTAAAAACTGCTTTATGGATCACATCGCCCACTGGCTGGGCCAAAAGAGTTGTGGCTTATCCCAAAACGATATCTGTGACACGTATGCAGTGGAAAAAGAGAGGCAGTTGCAGTTGCAGTTGCAGCTTGGCCTAAAACCAAAAAAAAAAAACAAATACAGAAAAACAGAAGAAAAAAACGCGTAACTTTTTACCTTGACTTGTCGTCGTCGCATCTTTTCAGCTACCTGTCTCGTCTTTTAGCCAACTTGTTGTGGCTGGCAACGACGACGACCACGACGGACGTGTACAGTAAAATAAAGTAAAAGAGACTTGCGGACGGACACTAGACGGTACGGACGGATGGATGGATGGTTGAATGGTTGGACGGACATGTGGCACTGTTGTCGACGTCGCTGTCGACGTCTATTTTGCGTTATTACGTAATTTCGTACACAATTTTTGTTTTTATTTAACTTTTTTTTATTTGGCTACCCCTCCCCCCGCCAAAAGAATCGAGCTGTGTGTGTGTGTGCCTCTGTCTGCCTTTCATTCGTGTTGTGTTTTGTGTTCTCTTGGCCAAACAAGTTTCTTGCGTTCGTATTTCTGTTGTTGTTTATCGTATTTTTTTCTTTTTCTTTTTTTCTATACATATGCTTTATTTATTTTTCCTTTATTATACCCTGTAATCATTAAAAACATTTGTTATAGCTAAGGGTGTGATGTGGCAGGCAGCTACAATCCCTTAAATTATATATATATATATAATTGAGTTGGAGAGCTAACATTTTCAGTATACCATTTAGAGTTGAAGAACATTGAAGTTTTTGAAAGAGAACAAAAAAAAATATAACCCAAAACTAAAAAGAATACTTTATAGACCTTAAATTGTATAAATATTGTATTTAGTAAGCAGAAGAAAAGAAAGTAATGTGGAATATCGGTAATAATTACATTGTTGGATACCTTCCAGCGAACCTAGCCAAAAAGTAATATAAATAATTATAAAACCTTATGAATCATATATATTGTTGATGTAGCAAGCAGAAATTTTAAATATGGCCTATATAAAAAGAAAAGCTTATAAAAGCTTAATTCATGCACGATTTGGAATATTTATGAATATATCAGTTTTTGAATAACTTCGAGCGAGCTAACCCTAAATTAAAAGAAAAACTTGGACAAACTTAATATTACAAGCTGAAATTTCGAACATAGCCTAAAATATATCGATAATATCAATTTTCACTTCTTGAAAGCCACCAAAAAAATATAACCAAATATTAAAAGTGAACTGATTACTATAAATAGAAGCCACACATTTAAATGAAATAATATGCTCTAAAAAAGCAGCGTTAATAGAAATTCCAGGGCATTTGCTAGTCTGGCACACTAATTCAGCTCTAAACCATTATTTTTGGTGTTTCTTTCCCCTATTTTTGTTTGGTTCGTTTGGGTGCAAATGTCGTTGTCTAATTGCTTCATTAGCCGGCTCTTTTCTAAACACACAACACACACACATAAACAGAAACACAACTTTGTAAGCAAATGTTTAGCTGCTTTTGGCCCAAGAGTCATTAAAGCGGCCCAGAAGAAGCAGAGAGCGGTGCATTAAACCCGCATCAATGTCAGCGGCAACAACAACCGCAAAACAACAATAACAACAAAGCAACAACAATTACTAGTTGTCGGTTAATTACAAGACAATCGTCAAAAGCATAGCTCAAAAAATACCAACCACAAAAAAAAAATAAAATACAAATAAAAAATCAAAAGAAAAAACCAGTCGACAGCTTTTTGACATTGACAATGAACCGAACCCGAACCCCGCAACAAACCGAGAAGACAGTGTCGACAGCAACAGCAACTAACAACAATCAACAGTCAACAACCACCAGCAACTATTACTACTACCACAAAAATAGTTTCTGTTTCCAAATGTGCATAGATAAATTACGCACTCAATCTCTTTCTCTATCTATCTATCTTCTACCATCTCTTAGCTGTATTTCTATCTGCGGGATACATTTCACAAAGACAAAAAAAAAAAAAAAAGAAAGAAAAAACCAGCTGTGCGCTATGATGACGCATTTTGCTTATTTATTTCATATTTCTTCCTAGCGATATTTGCTACCAATTATTGTTTACACAACCCAATGCCTATTTGTTCAAGTCTATTCTTTATTTCATCAAAAATTCTACCATGGCAGATTTTATTTGCATAGCCTTGAAGAATTGCTTCCAAAGAGCTCATTTCTTATGTGGAGTATGTAAAATTTTGTATTTTGAAATTCAATTTTAGCTGAACTTATTTTTCTGCTTTCTTTCCACACACTTTAAATATATAATATGTTTTATCGACACATTTTATCGATAATTTCCTTCCTTTTTTTCTCTTATATATCTAGAAACTTTAAATATATAATATCAGTTTTCGAATATCACACTAAGTTTATTTAATTTGATCGATAGCCAACGCATATAAAACCTATTTCATTCTATCGATAACTTTTATCAATATGTTTTTTGTTGGTTCATCTTATTATGCACTCAAATACACCCAATTTCCTCAAAATTTTTACAGTAGCAAATGTTTTATCGAGTAAAAGATCAACGACGTTTAGCTTAGTTTTTTTGGCTCGATTCCGTTTATTGTTATAGCCATGTTATACATTTTTATGGTCAAATTCAATTTGCGTGTTTCGCTGAGAACGAAACATAACCAAACTGGTTATTATTTAAGCTTTCTGGGTAATTAGAGAGACAGACTAGTTTTTAAATTAATTGTTAAATCGTAGCGCCATCTAATTAAACATATATTATCTAATATCTGAGCAAGTTCAGGCTACAGTTTTGCAGTTTATTTTCAGTTATTCTTTTTTGTGGTTTGATGATTATACAATGAGTAATTTTATATAGCTGGAAGTTGAACAATTCTTAGATAAGTTTACATCAATCTCAAGTTGTTTATTCAATTAACACAATGCTAAATTTGACTACAGTACTCGGTTCTTCCATCATAATTTGCTTATTCATAATTTAAACAATAACTTTTGTTGTATTTGTAAAAGAATTATCTTATTCTTAGAACTATTGATTAATGCTTAGAATCTTGTGCTGTCTTCTGTGTCTTCTTTCTCTTCTCGCTTTACATAAACCTAGCGTACTTCCCCCCTTTTGAGGTATTCTATTTTATCTTTTGTTTTCAATTTACTAAAATGTTGTGCTTTTTTCGCTGGTTCCAAAGAGGAAAAAAACAATCAGTAAATTGTTACAACTTCAACAAGAACAACAAGTTGAAAAACAACATCAACAGCAACAATTGACTTATATCAGATATTTGTTTCAGAGCATTTGACTTGTTTCAATGTCATGTTACATTTTGTATACGATCTTATTGTTTAAGGCACATATGTATTGTATATATACAATATATATATATATATATATATATATATATATATATTTGTGAACCCAGTTGTTGTTTTTGTTTATCAATGTTCTTTTTGGCATTGACGGCGTATTTGCTTTTTTTGTTTCTGTGGGGCAAGCAAAAAAACAAAAAAAAAAAGAGATTAGATAGAGAAGCGAAACAAACCGAA